AATATCGTACCTTACAAGTCTGGAAAAATTCCTCAGGTTCATCACCTCCAGGCTCTATGATTTTAAGAGCATGCCGCCGCTACACCCCAATTATCGAGTACTCTTCAGAGATCTCATCCCATCTCTAAAGGGGTGGAGAGCTACAGTAGACGCATCCACTCAGGACCGTCAAGTCCGCAGGTACATCGATGAGTGTGATGCGATGATCACCATGAAAGAAATGCAACAAGTGAAGCAAAGTGAACCCTATACCGATGGAGAGAGGTACCTCTTAGACGCAAGTGAAGGGTAAAAACTTACATTCGAAGAGTTTGCCCTTGTTTGGGATCTTCTCCTAGTGAAATTTGCCCTCCTGACAAGCACCCAACCTGCACCATTAAATAACGCAGTTCTTGGAGACTTTCAAACTGCGCGAGAGGAAAGAGGGAAACGAATAATTTTAGTACCGAAACACAAACAGTCCAAGGATGGACCTGCAATGCTGGGTATGAACCAGGAGCTCCAGCGCGACATGGCCATCTATGTGCAGAAGATCAGGCCTCATTTTGCCAATCTAGATGAAGACAAGATCTTCGTGAAAGACGATGGCTATGGCTTCAAAAAAGGAACGATTGGTCGATGGCTTACTGAATTTTTTTGCAAAGACTGGTGTGACGTCCCAACGAGTATCGCATACCAACATTTGCAAATTCATTGCAACAAGAACCATGGAAGATGCTACGCCCAAGGAGAATGAGGAAGTGGCAAAAAAGATGGGACACAGTGTGACCACGCGGCGGCGATGCTATGTCCGTAGACCGTGCACAAACCTGGTGGCAAATGCCATGGATATTGTCGAGCGTGTAACCAACCCAGAATACAGCAAACAGAAAGAGAAGGAGACAGAAGACGAAGGGGACAGTGTGGATAAATACGAAGGTGAGGGACAGATTACCCAGTCTTTTAATCTTAGTTAAACTGCTGTAAAACAGCATATCCTCAAATCCAAAAACGCTTTTTTTGTTTGTCTATTCCAGAACAATCTGGACCAAGTCCCTCAGGACAATCAGGACCAAGTGCTTCGGAGCATGATGATGGTAAGGACACTGGTGAGCGCGTAATTCACTTAGCCCCAATGGTTCTCTCACTTCTGTAATGACAATACTCTACATAGAAAACGCTTTTTTGTTTGTCTATTCTAGAACAATCTGGACCAAGTACCTCAGGACAATCAGGACCAAGTACTTCGGAGAATGATGGTGGTAAGCACATTGGTGACTGAGTATGATACATTTACCCTCAATGGTTCTCTCATTAGCGTAATGAAACTACTCTACATAGAAAGCACCTTTGTTGTTTGTATCTTCCAGAACGATCTGACCAAAGAAGTCTTACAGACAAGCAGACGAAGGCAACCGCCAAAGTTTTTGCAGCCGACCTTGATGGTCCAAACCTGCCATTCAACTTTGTAAGAAAGAAAATGTGCACGAACCTCACGTTGTGCGCACTTGCAACGTACAAGACCAAAGTCAAAAAGGTTGTAGATCACCTTCACTATTTGCAGAAGAAGAGACGGGATGAGAAAACAACAACAGCACCCAAGGAAGCACAACCGGAGTCACAGTTTGACTTTGAAGATGACAGCACAAAGTCAACCAGTGAGGGACGCCGCTTCTGGGATGAACAAGATTCTCTTCTCGTAGAAAACGCATTTAAGGATGTTGTGGCTGTTCCAAAGAGGGCTGAGATCAAGGCGGTCTTTATGAACGATGAAGACTTGCAAGAAATATGGAGCTCAGAAGGTGCAGATAGATGCTGCAATAAGGTCAAGAGTATTATAAAAAAAAGGCTACGTAACTGAATAGTTTAAGGTTTCAAACACAGTATAGTTGATGAGTAAAAGTAAACATTTTTAACATAACCGATGAGAAATAAAAACGTTACGAGTTAAAAGAAGAAATAGTTTAGACAATAATAACTACAGCCATGATATGTTATACGTGTATCTTAACTAATTTGTTTTTGTTGAGTTATAGTTAGGTTGTTGCTTTGTGATGTAAGGGGACACAATAAACTGAACTGAACAGACTTCTATTTTATTTTTATTTTATTTTCTTAATTTATTTCTGACCCAAAATCATGGGTCAACCCCTTTATAAAAAATCCAAGATGGCCGCCATCAAAATTTAAAATCTCCATATACGGTAAAGATGACCTTGTACGCGCTCTACACCATCGCCAAACATCATTTCCAGGTCTGATTAAACCATACACAGACTTAAAAGAAACGTGACATTGTGACCCAAAATCGTGGGTAAACCACTTTGAAAAAAATCCAAGATGGCCGCCATCAAAATTTGAAATCTCCATATACGGTAAAGATGACCTTGTACACACTCTACACCATCGCCAAACATCATTTCCAGGTCTGATTAAACCATACACAGACTTAAAAGAAACGTGACATTGTGACCCAAAATCGTGGGTAAACCACTTTGAAAAAAATCCAAGATGGCCGCCATCAAAATTTGAAATCTCCATATACGGTAAAGATGACCTTGTACACACTCTACACCATCGCCAAACATCATTTCCAGGTCTGATTAAACCATACACAGACTTAAAAGAAACGTGACATTGTGACCCAAAATCGTGGGTAAACCACTTTGAAAAAAATCCAAGATGGCCGCCATCAAAATTTGAAATCTCCATATACGGTAAAGATGACCTTGTACACACTCTACACCATCGCCAAACATCATTTCCAGGTCTGATTAAACCATACACAGACTTAAAAGAAACGTGACATTGTGACCCAAAATCGTGGGTAAACCACTTTGAAAAAAATCCAAGATGGCCGCCATCAAAATTTGAAATCTCCATATATGGTGTAAATGACCTTGTACACACTCTACACCATCGCCAAACATCATTTCCAGGTCTGATTTCACTGTACACAGATTTAAAGGAAATGTGACATTTTGACCCAAAATCATGGGTAAACCCCTTTCCAAAAAATCCAAGATGGCCGCCATCAAAATTTGAGATCTCCATATATGGTAAAGATGACCTTGTACACCCTCTACACCATCGCCAAACATCATTTCCAGGTCTGATTTCACTGAACAAAGACGTAAAGGAAATGTGAAAATTTAGACCCAAAATCATGGGTCAACCCCTTTGCAAAAAATCCAAGATGGCCGCCATCAAAATTTGATATTGACCACCCTCCTGTAGAAGCATTGGGTACTGATTTCAGTTCCACATTTATTCACTTGCAAATAGAACATCAGCCAATCTAGTCAGTAAGACAAACAACTCAGAAATTACCCCAGAATAAATTATGTACTAAGCAAGTCCATGGTGTGACACTGGAAAAGAGACCTGGCAACTATTTTTTCTGGCGAGCTGAAGATGTTTGCAAAACATGCAACGATGGGCTGTTTTACTCCCAAATATCCTCAACTAGACCAGCAAGTGAAGTGGTTTTCAGGTAGTATTACATTTGTAATCAGAAATTTGGAGAGTATATTTTGCACAGTTAAGTGAGGTCGTTTTTCAGTGTGTGGGAAGCAAAGACTCTGATTGGTCAGAAATGCATTGTTGTCACAATGATTTTGTAACATGCCACAAAAATGGCACTGCAATTACACAATTTACGGTTATCTCACATTGACATTAAGATTGCTATTTCATTTTTAACAGTTACTACTGTGAGTGGATTGATGTTTCAGCTTAAAGCCAAAGAACTCTCAGATGATCCTTCCTTTAAAGCCTTCTATGGATGGTACGAGAAATGGAAGCGCCACCACTTGGTCAGCATGCAAACAAAAACAATTCCTGGCACAATGATTGCCTGCGGATGAGACAACCATGCATTTCAAGCTCCCATCAAACCAAACACTGGAATTCAATGGGAGCGAACAGGAATCAGTGAAAACTTGCAGAGTGAAAAAGCAGAGCTTCACCATCGTTCTTGCTGTTGCTGCCAAAGTGGGTTGAAAGCCCTTGCACAAATGCATCAAATGTCTCCTTTAGGAGCCACCAATTTCATTAAAGTGCATAACATTCAGAAGTTACTGTTGTTGTGTTGTATTACTTCTACTTCATTGATAACTTGACTACAAGCCAGGGGAGTAATTTTAATTTCATATCATTATTTTATATTATTTTAAGGTTGGTGTGATTTCTTAGCAATTTTCACTGACCTTATATATTATGTAGAAGTAGATTTTTTGTACTAATGCACTGGAGATTTTTTTTCAGATCTGTATTAAATAACTGTGCTATTAATTTTATGCAAAAGTTAATTTATTGCGCATGGGTGTAATTAGTCAGTTTAAAGTACATGTACATGAAAATAAATATTCATAAGTTAAGTGCAGTGACATAACATATGATATGTCACCAAAAACTAATAAGGGAAGGTTTTCAAAATATGAAGTCCTGCACGTAATGTAATATAAGCCATTGATATGTCAATTGGCTTATGAATTATTAATGAGTTTTTGAAGAACTTTGTACAATGCTCTATTACTAAATACCACTCGTAAGAATAAAAGAATAAATATTAGTGGAGCTCAATGTGCAAGTGGAGCCACATAGCTCAGAAAATCTATTGAAATCTATTAAAATTTGGTAATCACGTGACGCTACACCAACCACTTGACTATCCCTTCACACCACAGGCCAACCAAATGTTTAATTTCACACTATCCAGCTTGTTTGAGGGCCTACAACCTGATATTGCACCTCCATGTTGTAATCAGGGTATCCACTGACCTGTATCACCTGACCGTATCGCAGGCTCAGGTATCAACCAATCGAGGTCAAGTATTTTTTTGAAGTTAACTGCTGACAAGTTACTAGTTTTTAAATGATTGCAGGCTGAAGTTCAATTTCTTTTAATGCATAGGAAATAAGTTGTGCTTATGACCGGCACTATTAAAATTTTGATTTCAAACTGACCTTGGCTGTGAAAATTCAGCCACCCAGGCAGGCAGTTGCTTTTCGCTTTTCACACTATGGTCATGCGTTGGTCACACCCTGCATTTAATTTTTATGCTCTGATTCGTCAAAATTTGACAGGTGAGTTTAAGCGGAAAACTTATCCAGCATCTCAAAACTTGGTAACTGATAGCTGAAGCTGACAGAGTTTAACGTCATACTGTGACATTTTTAAATGTCTTTTTCCACTGGATGTACAAAATGAAATAAAGCTGCTATCAAGATTCTTCTGTTATTCATGGCTGGTTTGCTTATTGGGTTTTTGGTTGACAAATGCACCAATTGTCAAAGTCATCAGAAATGCAATTTCAGATAGCATTGTTTTAAAAAATAAGCTTACTCACTTCACCTTGCCTGATGAGAAGTTTGAAAAGTCTCAAGCTATTCTGGCCTTACTTGATGGCTCTCAGGAGCTGTATCTCTACTGGTGAGCCTCAGTAATTATTGCGTTTGATAGTTTACGGACTAGTTTATGTGCATTTGTAAGATTTGAGACAATTATATGACCTAAAATCAGGTTGGATATAAGCTTGCAGAACTTTAAAGTGCCTTTAGACATTTTCTTACTGCAAATAGAAAGAAATGTTCCGAAACATATTTAGTAAGTAATAATTTTGGCTGTAAAAAGAAAGCTTTGAGCAATTTTCTTGCCTCAAGTTTATCTTGAAAAATAGCAAACCCTGGGAAGCCAGCTTTAAACAAAAATCTGCAGGGTTTTAATTTTATTTTCAGAGACACTTTACTCTCAATACTTGTTTTTGTGAATAAAAAATTGTTGCCTCTGTAAATGTTTCTCCAAAGGATATTTCTGTTATGTAATAGATAAATATGAGTGAAAGACCGTTATGGGCATTTTAAACAATTCGCTGTTTTTGGGTGTACATAGAAGACTATTGACTCAATGTAAGATTTGTTACACTTTTGGGCTGTTTACAAATATTTTTTTCTAAAATCACCTAGCCTTTCTCTCAAATGTCACATGGATGTGCCCTACAAATAAATGATTTGTGAATTACAAGTTTACTGTCTGATTTAAATTAAATTTATTAACGGGATCTTCGCTTTTTCGCCTTCTTTTTTTTTGCTAAATCTATATATTCCATTCAAACTAAGAAAACCATGAACACCAGATCCTGATCTTTCCTGTGATTGGTCATAACTCAATAAACATTTCTGAGATATTTCAAGTGTTCTCAGTTTTCAAGGTCACACTGTAGTGCAATTGACTTCAAAGATTACTGTTATTATTTGGCTATAAGTTGCGCGATTTTCACACAAATTAAAGTTAAAGTTCAGTTAAATTTGAACCCAAGAGAAGGTCTCGGCTTAAAGCCAAACGTTTTAACAAAAATTTTTTTCAGTGCATTGAAACTCTACTAAATGGGTAAGCATTCACTTACAAGTTGAGCAAATAGCAGCAACAGATTGAAATGATCGCGTAAATACAAATCTGAATGTTAAGTTAGAAAAGCACAGAAATTCTGTCCAAATTATCAAAGTATCTGACAAAAACAGGTCTGACAACTAAAATCTCAGATTGGTAAGCTTTTTACAATAAGGGAAGGTATAAAAAAATAAGAGATGTCAAGAAATATATAAACAATCTGCCATGTTTGGTCAAACATGCTTTGAAACATTTGCCTTGTTACCAATCATGGATGAATGAAACGAGAACTGGTGTGGTTTGTTTTGATTGCAAGACGATTTATGTGATCATCTCAAGCATTATGTGATGAGGACACGAGGAAAGATTGATAGCAGCAAAAACCCAAACAACAAATGGTACGTTTTCCTAAAGAAGGTCACTTTTAGTGTCCACAGCTTCTAGAGAAGCGTAGACACTATGTCATCGGGTCAAGTGANCATGCTTTGAAACATTTGCCTTGTTACCAATCATGGATGAATGAAACGAGAACTGGTGTGGTTTGTTTTGATTGCAAGACGATTTATGTGATCATCTCAAGCATTATGTGATGAGGACACGAGGAAAGATTGATAGCAGCAAAAACCCAAACAACAAATGGTACGTTTTCCTAAAGAAGGTCACTTTTAGTGTCCACAGCTTCTAGAGAAGCGTAGACACTATGTCATCGGGTCAAGTGATAGAGTGAAAGAGTGTAAATGCCACAGGAATCCCAAATGGAATCTGATCGAAAGCTGATGCTAATCCGAGGCTGACCGGGTTCTAAGCGATTGTATTTGCGGAAACTGAGATATGATCATCAATCGGTCGATTACTGTCGTTTAGGAGACGGATTACGACGTCCTTACGAGATGGTTCAACGATACTTTGGCAGCCACATGTGCTGGACGGCGTTTTATCGATTGCGACATTAATCCTATGTCTTTACCATGTGCTTTTTGAGATTTGGTAAATTTTATTCCTGTTGAAGGTGAGTCTAATTGTATTTTCTAGAATGTTTTCATCCTATTTCACATCAATGACCAAGCACAGCTTTCTATGCATTTGTAAAGTATTTATTTCTAAAGAGTTTGTCAGGTTTTCTTATGCTTTGGGGCGATTTTATGCCAGCAAAAGAATCATTCAGTCAAAGGATTTTGATGCCAATGTCCATGCACATTCACATTCTCTGCAGTTCAACGCGTTCAATGTCCGTTTGGTCGTCGCTGGATCATGTGTTACCCTTTTCAAGGGTCAAATTCCCTACCGGGAGCTAATAATCTCTTTCAAGAGATCCAAAATTCCCTTCGGCTCTCTCTTTTAAAATCTGGACCCATCACCATGCTTGTAGACAAATCTAGTAAAGTTGTTACACAATTTCTGTAATACTGTATCTCTTAAAGTATGATACTTGCTCTTCATAAGTTCGCTATAGATTAATAGTTTCTGTTGCATTTTATGCCTACGTTTCATATTAGAACTTTGCTTTCAGTACTTTACCTACAGAACTTTGCTGCATTGCTTTCAGTACAAAGTTGTGGTTCATGTTGTAAGATTATATAATATGTTGTTTATGTTAGAATAAAGTTAAAGTTCTCTTCATAAAAATGTTTGTGGTAAAAGGTACCAGCTTAATCTCTTCTCACCAGTATTCTGTGCAACATTTTTACAAAGTTTTCTTTTTTATCCCAATTCTATTTCCACTCCTCCCTCCTCGTTTTCATTTCAGTCTTATTTTCTTTTCTTCAATTCTTTTATATTACATTTCTATACCAATACTGCAGTAGACACATGTAGCCTTCGACTGCGTATTTTTTTCGAAAATGTTAGGTTTTATGGCGGTTAAAAGTCCCGTAACAAATGGGTCTTGGCTTATGGCCACATGTTTTGGATTTATCTTTCGTTCTTGGTTATGTTGATTCTACAAGTTCAAAGTTTAGGGTCTCGGCTTATAACCAAAATCAGCTTAAAGAGGAATAAATAGTAATACGGTAGTTCACCTGCTTTGTTTTTATCAAGATTACAATAAAACATGTGAAATGACTGTGTTTAGTTTTTCTTTCACCATTAGCTCACCAGCTTTACTTCATCTGATATATCTTCCATGCTATTGACATTATTATCAATAATTTTATATTGTGAATCTGTGTGACTAAGTCTCTGACATACTAATGACAGCAGCTTTGCTCTGATTGGTTATTGCTTATAACCCGCGACAAGTGTAAGCAAATCTTAAACAAAAAGAAAGTCGAAATATGAAAATGTTCTAAAAAAAGAAGAGGCTGTACCGGAAGCACCCTTGTCAAGGAAAACTGCCATATGAAACAACACCACAAGATTAACCTGAGATCAGGCCCAATTTTAGCAGTTCTCGTAGATTTCTTTCTTATGTGCTCCCACTAAGATTGGGCCTGATCCAAAGACTCACAAGCTTGTGCACACTGCTGCCAGATTTTGGATGCAACTCTGCCTGGCTGTTAGAACAATGCCACAGGATCTGATTGGCCGTTAAAATCAATGGAAGTTGAAAGGGCTTATTCCTCACCTGGTTATTTTTGCAAATGATCCACTGTCAGCGGAGAAAAAGGTTTTGCTATCTTTTTTATTGTTTTACGGTCTTGTGGCAGGAAAATATGCCTTAATATGTCTCAAAATTCAGAAAATTCAAATGGTTGTCCATGTCTTCTCAGGATGCCTTTTGATTTACCAACAAAAAGTCTTGTTTCATTTAAACGTTTAGCTGGGAATGATTTCTCTAAACGGGGTACACAAGCGGAGGATCACTGCAAAAGAAACCTCAATTGCCAGCTGTGAAGTATTAGATGAAAAATATCACACCGTTGTTCAAGGCATTTTTGTACGCATTATTATAAAAGCTTGTGCTGCTAGTCTTAAGGTAAAAGACTTGTTGTTTGCCTTTACCTTTTGTAAAAATAAACCAGGAAAACTGGTGTCCTCGCTCATTGGCTTTTTGCTGACAATTATTTTGATTAATAACTTTAGTGAGCTTTTCAGACCTGCGGTAAAACAACAACACAACCAAGGAGACTACAAAGTGTGTTTGTAATATTGTTTTTCATTTTGTTTAAAGGTCAGTTGAGCATGCAGTTTTGGTATTGATGTTCCGTCTTCCCAAAGTGGTCGATAATATTTACCTTGAATTATAACAAAATATTTTTTAGGCAGTTGTTCCTAGTAAATTCGTAAATTGCAAGTGTACTAAGGGACTAAATTAAATGCACTTGAGAACTCGTTTGGTTTACTCTGAGATAATTTATAGATACCTTGAAAAAGTTTGCGATATATTTTTCCAAGAGTTTCAAAGATTTATGCAGTGAAAATCGGGAAAAATTGCAGAGGAAAATATAAGGGCAACAGAAAAATAGAAATTTCAGTAGTTAAAACATTGAGAATGCCGAGCCAAAATATTTAAACTACAACATTGTGTCGCCGTCTTTTCAAAAACTTTTTACATTCTATGGCAACGGAAATAACCTTCAAGATTTTGTTTAATCTCGCAAGAAGTTAAATGTGATTGGGTGCCCATCTTATTGTTAGTTGAAAAAAAGATAAAAGCTATTTTTTAAGTCAGTGCATCTGCATTTTCCCTGCATATGGAAAATTTACATACAAAAAAGTATGCAACGGAAGTAATTTTGGTTGGCTGATTCAGCAAATGTCAATCGATCAAAAAAGTGAGTGGCAGACGCTTCATAGAAGGATTGTATCAGGCTCTATTTTCATTTCGCTTTGTACATTCCAGCGGGGCAAGGTGAAATGAAAAGAGAGCCTGATAAAAACGTTCTATTACCACAAGACTAACAAACCAAGGGGGTCGTGCATGCTCAAACATCAAACAATAATTAACTTTAACAACTCTTCCTTACATCCTTGGTGTTTCTCCTAAGGATCTCCAATGTCATTTTCACGACTGAAAATGAGCCGGCCGCTCAACGGAGAAGCGTTCGTGCTTCTCGTCTGCTGTGAAGCTGATTCGACAGAGGTTATTTAGGTCAAAACGTGCGAGCAAAATGTTCCTTCACGAAGCTTCGAAGCGTGAAACACTCTTCAAGTGAACAGAAACTTAAACCGTTCAATTCCAAATATCATGAAAGTCAACAATTTAGCAAACTTTCCACGTTTCAAATCCATGTAACCTCCTAACTAAGTAAGCTTAAGCTTAACTTAAAAAAACTTATGTAATGGTACGAGTACCGAAAGGGTTTAATTCCTATTAGGATATAGGGTTTCAAGATGAAAAGACTAACTCCTTCCTATGTTCTTTTCATTCTTGAAAGCTCTTACCGTAAACAAGTGTCGCCATTAAGCCTTTTTATATCAAATCTTGACTGAATTGAAATCACCTGACTGAAAGATTTGGTTTTCGAAGGTGTTCTCTCGACGAAAGGTGTTCTGTCTCCCATCTCCGCACGTGTCTTTGGGTTCTGTAAATGGAACGAAATAAGCTATTTAAATCAACAATTTGCAGAAGACCTCAATTCAATAACGCTACCAACGTTTTATCATAACGCACTGAATGTTCACCTCCCAGAAATTGCAAGCATCTCGCTGGCGACAGTTTCGTAGGAATTCCAAGGAGCTCCAAGGCTCCAGCTTTCTTCGCGTCTCGTTTCAATCACAGCGGGGTCGAACGCTTTTGGAAGATCATCAATGCTCCGACGTTCACTCTTTGAAATAAGCAAAGAAACAAAACAAAACGACAGTTTCACGTTGGCATACTGATGCAGAAAGCGCTATCCGTCTCCGAGCAAGACAGCAGCAAGACAGCAGCAAGACAGCTGAGCAAGATAGAAAACATTCAAGCGCTCATCTCAAAACGGACCAATCACGCTGCACGGATGAACAATAAACAATCCTGACTTTTAACTGGGGAGCCTGTGGCAAACAGGTCTACATTTCTAAGGACAGAAAAATAGTGAGCCTGTGTACAGACGTTCCCTCCTCCCTCAGGAAAAATCTCCTCTCCCGATTTTTCCTGAGAGAGGGGGGACGTCTGTACGCTAAAAAATAGGGGATCGCTCATCGTTTCTGGGAAACGCGCGATTTTTTGCTCAATTAAAATCGTCTCGATTTTACGATCTCACGTTATCGTTTCCGGCTATCGTAACCGTAGTCGAAGAAGGAGACTCAGGAGAGAAACAGCGCCTTTGCTCTGGACAAGGGAATCAAGAAAACAGAAGCATCCATTCAACAACTCAGCGCACACGCAGAAACGAAGACCTGTCCAAAAGATCTGCGATACAACGTACGAGTGAACATCACGCCTGTCCAATTTTTTAAGAGTGACATAAGCCGCATTCGCAGAGAAGCCGAACAAAAACTAGTCGCCGCGTTGATCAGCTACCACCACCAAAGAGCGGAAAAGGGCAAAATCAAGCTTGGAGTGCAGAAACTGACAAAAAACCCAGAGAAAGGAAATTAGACAATCTAGTACTGATTAAGAATCCGCCTCCTTCGGTACCAGAAAAGGAGAGCACTGAAAATGTAGTATTTCTAGCGAACGAGCTAGCAGACAAATTCAAAAGAATGGAAGAAATGATGAAAGCTTTACGCAATAAAGGGAGTGAATCTTATCCCTGTTTAATAACTGAGTCTTTAGTTAAAAGGATGGAGAAAGATAAGCGCAAAGTGAGAAATCACAAAAAACCGCTCGTGGCAGGGGCACTCAGGGGCACTCAACGACGGTTTCCTCCCAAAAACGTTAAAAATACTTTTTAGGCTTTACAGAGTACTTTTAGATCTCTAGAAATGAGTTCTAAGCGGCGCTTTAAAATTTGTGTCTGTTCGATCATGCTGGGGGAACTTGAGTCTTTTCGAAGTTACGAGGGCCTCAGCATTATTTTGCCGAAAATTTTTTAGGCAGTTTACGCGAATTTAACGTATTGTGAAAGTGAGAATTTTTCTGATTTCTCTCTCAATCATATTTTTGAATTCGAACATTTTAGGTTTCCTTTTTCTACAAAAAAAAAATAGCCTAAACTAGGGAGTGAAATGTGAGAAATTGAATTTCAGAAAATCGTAGGGAATTTATTAGATAAGCTTCGAAAATTGTGCATGAATGGAACGTTCATCTAGAAATTTGTAGTCTTCGTCAAGCAAAATAAAATTCTAGGTAATATTTGCTTCTCCAAATAAAAACAGGGGTCTTTTTTGCATGAGCATGCGCGACCGCTGACTTGTCAAAGAGCACGCGACCAGTGACAGCGACCGTGCTGCATGGTTATATGAACCAAATTGTTCACTTTGAAAGCTTGCTTGAGATTGAAATGGTAGCAGGAACTTAGGAAAGACCTTCGTTGTACAAAATAAGTAAAGATCTGTTGATTTAAAGTGGAGACTGATGCGCTGAACGNCCGCAGAAGTAGCAGAAGGCTGAATAAAGATAAGAGAAACAACGACTTCAACAAAAAACTAAACGCCGCTCGAAGCACCAGTGGCACAAGAGACCTCTCAAGGTCCAAGAAATAATTGATGATCTCCATCAAGGAGGTCATATTGATACAATGGCCAAGAAATGGCTTTCACAAACACCTTGCGTAACGCGAATACCACTCTTCTACACACTAACCAATATTCACAAACCAACCCTAACTGGAAGACCTATAATTTAGGGCTGTGGCGGCCCAACAGAGCGAATATCATCATAGACCACATTCATCAGCCGATCGCTAAATCACAAAAATCCTAACTAAAAGATACAACAGAATTTATTATCCTTTTATAGAGGAGAGGAAAGTTCCTGAAGACGCGATCCTAGTTTCAATGGATGTTACTAGTCTTTACACAAATATTCCTCAAGAAGAAGAGATAAACACCGTACGCCAAGCATATGACATCATACGAAGTCTTTTATGAGAACGCCACTCCCATTCCCACCGATTCACTCCGAGATATGCTTAAACTGATACTGAAGGAAAACTCCTTTCAGTCCCGGGCTTTCAGTTTAATGAGAGGAACTACCTCCAGACTCACAGTCCCTCCCTCTGCGAACATTTTTATGTCCATAATTGAAACAGAAATTATCAGTAAAAGTTAGACTAATGTTCCAAAATTTTTCAAGCGCCGCTAGGCTTACAAAGTGGTTGTCTTTATACTAAACTATTAAGTAGAGTATTTTATAAGAAAGATCAATAGTATTCTTAGGCGTAAAAATAGGTGTTAGGAGGTGGTAGAACTGATAGAACAAAAGATACTGAATTAAATCAAATTCAGCTGCCCGTGGAAAAAATTGCAAAACTGAAAATATCTCTATAGCCAAATTACCATACACGAAGGTAAAACAATGGTTTGAAAAAATGCAAATTTTCTAAGATTCAGTCGAAAGAAATTTTAGTTTGAAAGTAAGAAAGTTAGTTAATTTTAGCTGAAAATAGCCCAACTGAGAACAAAGAACTAAAAATGTGTTACGTCGCGTGGTTCCAACCAAATTTTAACGAGATAAGGAAATCTGATTATGATTAAAGTTTGGAAGCGAAAATGAGAACTAACCTTAGGTTTAAATAAACGAACTTCGTTAACAGGAAACGCCTACTTTCCCATTCCACAACTGAATACATCTACCAAGAGAAGTAATTATTTGTATCTTCCGAGCTTGTTTCTGTGTTTTTTAAATAATCTTGAAGAGGTGTTTCTTAACCTCAATTAGACCTGTAATCGTGAAAGACTGAAACTAAACTTATGATGTTTTCTACAATTAACCGTGCGTTCAACTTCTATTTTTGATTGATCCTAACACCAAAGAGGTCGGTGCAAAAATCTTTTAGCCAGGACTAACTGACCAGCAAAGGTTTGCTAGTAGAATCTAAAGTGTGTCCAACTGTTCTGACAGCTTGTAAACACCATCCTTTGTCCCTTAACAAAAGATATTTGAGATATGGTGGAACTTTTGATTTTTGAACCGACCTAAACAAACTTATTTCCTTATATATCATATATCCCTGAATAAAGTTCAAATGTCCAATACCGAAATAAATATAATAAACTGAATAGATATTAATGATTACGAAGAGAAGCGCGAACAATAAAGCAGACTGAGCAAAAATGTACCCTAACACTAAACCCCTCGATTGGAAAAGATACATTGACGATGTTTCAGATGCTTTCTCCCTGTGGAAAACAGGAACGGAGACGATAAATCAGTTTGTTTTAGAAGCAAACATACATCATCCTACGATAAAATTTATGGCTGAAATTTCAGAGAAGGAAATAAGTTTCCCAGACACCACTGTCTTTAAGGGCAAGAGGTTCTACGAAGACGCTATCCTTGACATCCGTACACATTTTAAACCAACAGAGACATTTCGATACACGGATTTCACTTCTTGACACCCTCCGGGGTGAAAAAAGGATTTCTTTTAAAGGTGAAGTACTCAGATTTCTGAGAACCAACTCTTCAAAAAATTTATTTGAAGGAAGATTGACAACTTCAAGTCACACTTGCTGTCTGGTAAATAAAATCCTCGCAGAAGTTAAATTTACGGATAGAGAGTCGGCACTTCAGCAAAAACCGCAAGGAGAAAAGAACAAACTAACGCCTTTTGTTACACAGTAAAACTCATCAGTGCCTAGTCTTAAAAAGGTTCTATGGACAAGTGGCATTTATTGGAAATCACCCATTGCTGAGTACAATATACTGAGAACCACCTCTCATTTCCTGCGGAAGCGGAAAGTCACTAAAGGACATGGTACTTGTTAGAGCTAAATTCTGACGGTCAAAGTACTATTACATCGAGAAACAGCGGGAGCCGTGTTTAGCCTTAACCTCTTTTAACATCAGTAATCTCCAACCTACATTCAAGACCTAATAACCCGCTACTTACCAGCCTGCAACAGACTGCGCAGTGTGGGAAAAAGCCAAAAAACGGGGTCAAACGGGATTTTTTGTGTTTTATTTAGAAACTTCAATTAATTAATCAATATTTATTATTATTCTCATGTTTTCACTTTGTTAAGTCCCTAGATCATTACTGGATAGGCTAGTGAGGGATCCAGTGCCCCCTATTTTTAGACCAAACCGACGCCCGAGGGGCCGAGAAAAATTCTTTTTGGGGACCATCCTCCCCCCTTGTCTAAAGGTCTGGATCCGGCACTGTAGGCGCTATGAAAATGTTCTTTTTCTTATTATTATTACACGATATTCTAGATCTCAGGATCTACTGGATATACAGAGTCTGTATGATTTATAGATCTCTATTATTTACAAGTTCTGTAAGATCTACAGCTACTATTATATTTTGCAGCACGACCTTTCCAGTTTGGTGGAAGTGTAGCTAGATGTCGTGGGTAGTGGGTAGAGGTCGTAGGTGTGGGTAAATATCTAATACTTTCGATGTGTAACTAAAATTAACAGTTTACCGAGCTTTTGTTGATTTTAGTTCTAATGACTACTGGTACGTGTTAAGATTACACTTGTGTTGACGATGTCAAATTTAAAATTTAAAATTTAGTTGTCTGTTAAATCAGCGGCGACTCAGATGGGACGAGTTGTTTTGTTTTCTCGTTTTCGGATATTTTATGACAAGCCGACCCTTCCTTCTTTGTTGTTTTTCTTCGTAAAGGTTTAGTATTCTGTTTAGCTAAGACAGCTGGGTTTATATTGAGGTCGTTCTCATATAAGGTTTATTTCAACCCTCATGCTCAGCCTTCCAGGTTAAGGCGAGATTGTGTGAAAAAGGATGTCTTAATTTTTCTCGTATTTAAGACTAAATGACTTCACCTTGATAAATGCTTTGTCGGAATATCTTCGGATTTTAAAATGTGATGGAGAGAGGAATAACGGGGATCCTTACTTTCATGGTACGTCATCTTGCATCTAAAATTTTCGGTAAAACAGAACTGAAGCCCTTGTAATTTCGAAAAGAATCAAGTTCCCCTAGGCTGTCCGAACAGGTACAAAATCTATAGCTCTACTAAAATGCATTTCTAGAGATCTAAATGCGAGTACTCTGGATCGAGCCTCAAAAGTGTTTTCAGTGTATTTATAGAAGAAAACCGTCGTTGGGTGCCACTAAAAAACGACATATTTTGGTAACTCGAACTAGTTAACTCGATCTTAAGGTGGCTCGACTGGATTTTTTTGGGGGGATACCTCCCAAGTTTGAGCATTAACTACGTCGCCAAGAGTAAAGATAAGGGAAATTTAATTTAAAACATCGTGGGTCTCTTCTTTTTAACTCTTTTTTTTTTAAATATCATCTGTTTCCTTAGTCAAAATAAATAACAAGACCCGTGACCAGGTTATGAAATGTCCATTAACAAACATGCAATGTGTACAGCGGAATATACCAAAAGCAAAATAGGTATTCAACTCCGTTTCTCACCATGGCCCTTCGTAATTCTACACTCGATCTGAAGATATGCTTTATAGTTGGAATGCTTTTCTCTTTGACTCTCTCAGTATAGTTACCTTGACCGTGCTGACCATTTGGTCTATTTCGGTGGACATTTGTGAAGAGAAATGTTAACAAGAAACGAGATCTAGAGACAACCGTCTATCGTTTAACAAAAATATTGGGATTAGTGCTTAGTTGTGCGGGTACAGTCGACTTTGAACTCCGATAGTCTTAACTCGGGTTATTAAAATTCTTGCTTTCACTACCATCCTGCCTTGATACCTTTACAGTCTTGTAATTTTACTTGTCATCTGCGGTAAACATGTTCGAGACTTAAGCTTTAAAGATATGCAGGAACCCTGCCTGCACAAACGTGAAGATTTTTGTATCGTAAGATTTTTTTCTTAGATTTCCACCCTTGAGACAGTTGAGAAACATAGTTTTGCCGTGATAGTTGGCGGTATTAATGTCGTGCTAGAAACAATTAAACAAGAAGTAGACAACTGTTTTAAAAAATGACCCTCGTATTTAAGCGAGAAAAACAAAACACAGTTCTGAAAAAAAAATTGATTTAGCCAGGGCTAAAAGCGAAGCTCTCTCTCGATAATATTTATAGTTTGTTCAAACAAAGTATAAAATCGTGTAATGCTAAGCGGCGAAGGTATGCAACGCCGCAAAACTGCGGTAAAGAACAACAATGGATATAATTAGCAAAAGCAACTTTGCACATGCAGCACACTCTTTTGTACATTTATTTGCCGTTGGTTTGCGGACTACAACGTGAAACTTCCAGAAACTTCTTAGGGCCTGTTTACATGGAGTGGGGGACCCCGGTCTAGTGGGGTTGGTTTCTTTTGTTTTCACGCTCTGGGGGACACAAAACAAAATAAACTTACCCCACTAGACCGGGGTCCCCCACTCCATGTAAACATGGTCTTAGTTACACGTTTTGTAGAGGAAATGTCGTACGTTTTCCCGTTCACTTTTTTTCACTGCCGCTCATTTTCACCTTGCATTGGTGGCCACTAGCATTTCTCAACTTGTCACCGCCGCTACAAAAGTTTTATGTTGTTCTTCCAACGAAAAAAAATGACTCCTTTGTTTTTTACCTCTCGCTCTAAATCCCTGTCTCCCTTTTTTCTCGTTGAGCTTCGCTGGCCTGCCGCCCACTTTCTCTTTTTCTCTGTCTTTCTCTTGCTCTATATTCCAAATTTGTAGACATGACAATTTATCTAAGCTTAATACTTTAGACAACACGGATACAGAAACAATTTCCGCTTTCCGTTTTCGTCTTTATTGACTCTTTTGTTGTCTCTGCTTTTTAGGACGCCAGTGGCCATGCAATTTCCCGCCAAAATAACCTCGAATTGCATTTGGGTTACCATACCTGTTGATTGAGTTTTTCTACATTGGTATGCCTGTGCTGCGGACGGACGGTCTCTCGGTCGGTGGGTCGGTCGGTGTACGGTCACGTGATTACCAGATTTTCTGCGATGGGTAGATGACTTTATTTTCTTACCCACGGTGCTCCGCTGGCGAGCTTTGCACGCGACAGCTCCGCTACCAAGAAAGAATTACCCCGCGGGAGAAAATAAAGCATCTATTAAAGACAGATTTAGAGCCAAGGCTAAAAGCGAAGCTCTCTTTAATATGTTTATGGTTTACTCAAACAAAACATAAAATCGTATAGTGGTAAAGGAACTAGAGACTTTCAAGATCCAACGATGTGACAGCAACGAGAACGTCGCTTGAAAATTGAATTTGCGTCCTTCCAGTCTTTATCGCAATAATTTATTCCTACGCACTTACTTTCTGTAAGAGAACCTCCTGAAGCTGAATTTAAAGGGACCATATCCAAGGGGAAAAAAGGGAAATAAAATCTCGTCGTTTCTTGTTTACGTACTCCATAAAATGCGAAATTAGTGCATTTTCACGTCGTACCCTGGACTGTAAAGACAACGAGAACTGTAAAAGACAACAACAATAGATCTAACAACTTTGCACGTGCATCAGACTTTGCTGTTTTTCACGACTGCAACGCGAAACTTCCAAAATATTAGTCTTTCTAGTTACACGTTATATGGAGGAAATGTTTCTGTTTTACACTATTTTTTTCGTTGCCGCTAATTTTCACCTTCGTGGCCGCTAGCATTTCTCATTTTGTCACCACCAAGATAAAATTGTTCCAACGAAATTGGTTTCAGTTCATTTTTGTTTGTTGCTCTAGCTACTTCTTTGTTTTCCACGTTAATGTAGAGTAGACATGAAAATTTCGCCGAAAGTAAGATTCAGCTTTTTGTTGGTTTTTTTTTGTCCTCTCTTAAAGTTCCGGTTGCTTTATTAAACGCCGAACGGCGCAGGCTGCTTGAAATACAAAACTTCACCCTCGTTTACACTGTTGGGTTATCATTAGATCCCATCGACCGTAGCCCCATCGGACACCTCATGAAATTTACACAACGATGTTTTCCTGTTTACTAATGCCTTTTACAGATAAGGGTTAAGCACTGCCTTTACTGATCAGCGACTGATTAGGGTTAAACACAGTTTCGAAACTGGTTAGTTTTTTTTTTTGGGGGGGGGAGGGTTGGGGTTGATGTTATATGCACTTAAATTATTTCACCTCCATCCAGCAAATCCTCAGTGGTCTAGTGGTTAGCGTAGTGTACTTGCCTGGGTCGAAAGTTCAAATCCTAATATCTTTCGTATCAATGTCTTTTTTTTCAAATTGAAGTGACTTGCACGTTCATGAATATGCCCAGCTTGAAATATCATCTAAGTGTGATATAAAAGCAGCAAACAGTTCGACCTTGTGTAAATTTAATGAGAGGAGAAACGGGCTACAGCCGATGGGATATAATGCTGACCGCATGACCACTGCTCGTTTGCACGTGACGTCACGGCAACCATGTTGGTGGTGTGTTGGTGGTCAAGAAAAAAAAAAAAGAAACAAAAACATTTGCACTTTGCACTTTTTATTTGAGTGTCAATGTATTTAGCACGAAAGTGCTAATTGGGGACACTATATTTTACGTCTCCTAATGGAGACGGGACCGCCATTTTACGTGGTCTTCCGAGCCACGCGAAGGTCTCGCCGCTTGCAGTGCAAAGGAATTACCTTAGGGCCTGTTTACATGGAGGTGGGGGACCCCAGGTAGGTGAGGTAACCCCCTTAGGTGGGGTAAAACAATAACCCTCCTTTACATGCAATCTTACAACCCGCCATCCCGGGGTGCACTTTGTCAAGATTACACTCACTTGTTGCTCTTGCTGCAACATTCAGTGCTGTGGCTTTCTATTGTTTCCTTTAATAATGATGCAAAGCCACCACCAAAGTGAATTTTGCGCGAATTTGATGTATCACGAATCCGACCCCGGCCATGCGGGTTGCCCCACCTTGAACGTTTACATGGCAAAATTTGACCCCGGCTGATAGGGTTACCCAGTCCGGCAGACCGGGCTACCCGCCTTGGCGGGTCACCCCACCTATCATGTAGACGTAATCAAATTAAAATAAAAGATCATATGGACAGGCGGGTGACCCCACCAAAGCGGGTTACCTCACCTACCTGGGGTCCCCCACCTCCATGTAAACAGGCCCTTAATTTCTCAGTCATTTTAAGACCCTGATTAATGGTCCTGCCCCGGGAATCGAACCTGCGACCTCCCGCTCGGCAGTCAGGTCTCGCCTCTACCGACTGAGCTAATCCTGCCACGGAAATAAACCCTACTTTCATAGAAAATCCTTTTAGAAAAAATTCTATTGTAATGACCACCAACGTGGACGCTTTTTTCACGTGGCGGAAAGCCAAGAATCAGGGTGGACGTACACTACGTACCTGCATATTTAATAAATCAGCGGCGCTTTCCATTCATCCAATGTCTGGTTTCAATTATTGTTGGCAACTTTCAGTAGTGAATGAAACAGCAATTTCCAAAATTTCCCAAAAAGTTTTGCTTTTCGGAAATTCATCAGCTTACGGAACAGACGGAATTTCTTGAAACTTTCCCGGGACTTTTCTGTACCATTTGCCGCTGTTTCCCAATTTTCGAAAGTTTCTGGTGAATATAGAAGGGGCCTAGACAGGAGCCCATCAAATGATGGGCTCCTGGCCTAGATCTTTTTACCCATGGTACATCGCGCGCGGATATCTCTGCTTTAAAGTGCGGTGGCAGAGGAGACTTTGCCTACATATCTCGGTTTTTCCTTCGTCGGGGGAGGGTCCAGCTACTCGACTCGAGGCTTTTTTTTTCGCGCGGATCCCCACCACCTCCCCACACGCAACGCCGACCTACGTTTGCTCGAGAGCCATATATTGGTTTGCAATATGATTATTTTGCGGAGAAAAATATAGCAAATTATGTTGACGGTTAACTAGCAAGTTCTTTGAGCAGGCCTGGAAAATATTCTCAATAAAAACTAGATTGCGAGAATGGGTGTTACGTTCCTTCAAAGTTTTGGTGACAGTTCTCTATCAATGCCCTCGTTCCTCGCGACTCGCAGGCTCTTCACTCATTGTTGAACGAAATTTGGAAAGTGCTCAATCTCTCTAGCTCAAAGTTAATGAAAATTTGAACCAGTACTGTGGTTCGAAATAGGGAAATCTTGAAAATATTTTCATTAACAAACATTACTATGACCAAAAACGATGGGAAAATAAAAGTAAATTAAGATGAAAAGAAAAAAATTAAACCACAAACGTAAATATTTGCGACAGTCCGGTCCTTGAAGCTGCCCCCCTTCCCCCTTACGTTCCCCTGACCCATACAGTGAAACTTGCATCGGGTAGCCTCGTTCGCATGGGATTGCGCCACGGCGGACTATGTGGAAAATGTTATCGCTCGAAAAATAAGTGGCAGTGGAGGGAATTTGCGCGGCGAAAACGGTTCCTTCTTCTATTCATTTGAAGAGGCAGTTGTTATTGTACCGTAACAATTGTAAAGGAAGGTTTGCTTGTGTGCAGTACGTGAGTAACAACCGTTTTTTTCAGTGTCTTCCACGGACTCGAGAGTGAGTGTTGGCATGTACATGTAGTTCTTTTGCTGTTTTCTGCTTGAGGTGAAAACTGAACTTTTTATGACAGAAATGTCACAGACAAAACCATGTTAATTT